AAAAAAAAAAAAAAAAAGATGATCATAGGCATTGAATATCATCTGCACATAAGTGAACAGTACAATAATGTTTTTGAATTGCTCAACTGATAAAAACATAAAGGACAGAGTCTAGCTTGAGTCAAAAGAATGCTTAAACAAAATAATCATTTAAACAATGTATCGTTTTCCAATTTTCATGACTCTGTCCAATCATGAACAATATTTGTAGCATCTTAGGAAACAAATCCTCTAGTTTCGCATACCTCTAATAACTGAAGGACACAATTCAAGAAGACATAAAAAGACCAATCAATCCATTACTCATTAAGAAAACACCTTAACAATCACTGACCGAATCCGTGCGCATTTACATCAACAAAATACATAATGAGGCACAATGTCCGACCCGATACAAAAGAAAGAACCCTGACATATAGTCATTCACACAATGCACCACTTCACACACAAAAGCACCTTAACAAATCTCTATATGGGGGGCATCCAAAATCAAATGAGAAACAAAGAGTAGTAAATTAGACATTTCCATGAACAAATAAAAGAGAAAAACACATATAACTGAATTCATGAAAAAGAACCAATTTCCCGAATCAGTAGTGCAAATAACATTACAGATAAACGCAGCTGAACAATATATAATCCGATCAAAAATTCATTTTTACTTCTTTTTTTTCAAAAACTAAAAAAGGATACCTACTCGATTAAGTCATCTTCCAGTTCAAATTCATCTCGCCAAGAATCAATCGATAATGTGTCGCCATACATAATTAGATTAACAGAGAAGTCACAAATTAGTTTATGAAGTCACGAATACTACACAGACTAGCGGCCACACTCAGATCTAATTCCAGAAAACCAGTCCTGAGCACACACAATATATACAAATCAAGGTGAAAAACTGGTAAAATTCACTCACCTCCCGTGAGATGGCGATCGCTTCACGGGGTGATTTGAGGAGAAGGCGGCGTAGGCGAACTGAGAACGAACAGTGATCTGGGATTTCTTATTACTTGTGTGATGTAATTTGTTGTGCTGGATTTGTAATCAGAGTATTAAAAACTCACAGAAAGGAGTTTTGAAAGGGGACATGAAAGAGAAATGGAGGATGGTGCACAACACCATTTGCATAGGATCACGTAAAATTACCATAAAGTTACAATTTCTAAAAGTTATAACAATTTGGTTTTACTTTTACGAGTCACGGATCTAGAAATTTCACTCAGGTGGCCCGATTTTAAATGTTAAATAACGAATTTATAGTTTAAGTCGAAACACTCAATCCAAAAATGTATTTACTATAAATATAAATATTGATACGTACCCTCAAGTTTTTAAGACCTTAGAATTCGTATCACCTCAAACTTAAAAAAAAAAAAAGGAATCATGTATTTTGATGAGCCAAAATAATCGACTCACTTAGGTTGCCGGTCGAACCGCCTCATCTTGATTGCGTGATAGTCCGACTGTCTCGATTGCCTTGTCTTCAAGAACCGGATCGACCTGCAAAGCACCGGGGCGGAGCCCCGGCGTAGACACTCCGACGCTCAAGTCAGAAAACATATATTTTGATCGTGTATGTTAAGCAATCATCAGAGCTTAGGAATAAAAAATGAACCTGGTCCCTTATTTATAAGGGTTTAATGACTTACTCCCCAAGATAATGAGTTTCCTCAATAAAAAAGAACTCTGACACTCCTCAATAATTGTGTAGATATACACCAACTTGATATCTTTAATTAATATCTTGTATCACATAAATTAGCTCTAAGCTTCCTTAGACCGGCCTATCCGAGCTAACCGCTCAGGCTGGTCCACCGAGTTATTTTTCGTGCTATATCATCTAGCCCCCCACTCTAGACGAGCTTATAAATATAAGACTTGTCTAAGAGTAGAACAATCATGTCTCGCCAAAGTGTATATCATAGGACTACAATATCGGGGTCCTGGGCTCATCCAGCCCCCACAGTCTACCACGTCGGAGTTTTGCAGCCAACTGCATGAAAATATGGCTCTTAGGCTAACTTTGCACTTTCATTGCCTTTATGGTCCCCGAGCAACCTGCTCGATGTTCTGCCACATTAAAACATTTGACATTCGCACTATCTGCTCAAGATGTAACAATGACTCTCATATCTACGACCTCACAAGTTGTACGAGCTCGGGCACCGCTGCGACAGGCTAATTATCCTTGATCTAGCCACAAGTAAAAAGGACCGCTGCCGAGCTCCAAAAACTCGAGCAACGCCACGACAGACTTTTGCCCTAAGTTTGGCTACGAGTCTGAGGACCCGCTGCCGATCTCATAAACACAACGATACTGGTGAGCTTATAAACACAATGATTCTGCCGAGCTCATAAACATAATGATACTGTCGGGCAAAACGAAACTACCGAGCTTATAACGCCTATCCTGCCCTAATGCGGCAGAAAGTTTAACTTCATGTCGAGCTAAGATAGGCTCGGTAATCGTTCGAATTGGACACCGCTGAGCCCTGCTAGCTCGAGCGACGTCTTCAGCAGGCTTTCGTCCTATCTCGACCACCACCAAACACTACAAGCTCTAGCAGTATCCTCGACCACCGCCAAGCTCTGCAAGCTCTAGTGATGTCTTCAACAGACTTTCGCCCTATCCTCGACCACCACCAAGCTCTGCAAGCTCTAATGATGTCTTCAACAGGCTTTCGCCCTATCTCGACCACCACCAAGCTCTGCAAGCTCTAGTGATGACTTCAACAGGCTTTCGCCCTATCTTGACCACCACCAAGCTCTGCAAGCTCTAGTGATGTCTTCAACAGACTTTCGTCCTATCTCGACCACCACCAAGCTCTGCAAGCTCTAGTGGTGTCCT